AATAGGATCAATATTGGGATGTCTTCATCATTCAAATTGGAGTAAAAATAAAAAAAATGTAAATCAAAGAACACTAGGCAGAAGAATGCTAATCGAAATAAAAAAGAAACGAGATTAAAATGTTATCTTTGGGTGTTAGGGTTGAATGAAGTGGGGATAAAGAGAGTAAGAGAAGGGCTTGATTTTCGTGTTGTGCTGCTTGGTTATAAGTTATTTGAGTCCTTAAAAACAGTATTGTTATATTTCACAATATTATATTTTCTCATCATAACATAGACTGTAGGGCAAAATCAACAGGTCAGACAGTGCAGAGGAGCAAAATTTTTATTATTATTAGCCCATCTTATTCACTGCCTTAAGTTGCCATCTTTTTCACTGTCAGAAATATCATTTAATTTATGGTGAAGTCAATGACATTCAAATCAAGACTAAAACACTACATTAATTAAGAAAACTACTGAAGAAGGTATATATGAACATCTATCCCAGAAAGCCCTAATTCGAGACAAAGAGTATGGTTGTTGGATTTAAATACATATTGGAGACATGCTTTTGTGGTAATGCGTAGCATGAATCTTTTCACAAATTTTATGGACTAATAAGTAGATTTTTCTTATTATGACATGTGATTACTAAATGGTCCTCTTTGATTTTCGGAAGATGCTCTGTAGACAATCATCCAATTCAGGAAGGGGGTATGCTTGACAAGACAGCATGTCGCGAGCCATTTACAGGTCCGTGTTATTCTTCAAATTCTGTTAATGAGCAATAATTTCTGCATTTTTTAATTTTGATTCCGAATTTCCTAAATCGGATTTCCTTTTCCTTTGTTTATCGATCGATACCGAGGTCGATTTTGTCATTATTTTGCAGTTTTAAAAATAGTGTATCTTTCCTGTCAATTCTTGATCTCTATTTCCTTTTCACTAGCACTTGATTTTAGTGTTAGTTTTTTTATTGTTCTTATGAAATGTTATTTACTCGGTCCTTCATCAATTTTAGGCAAAAAGTTGTTATTCCTCAATCTGCATCAATAGCCAGCCAAACCAAGAAAGCAGTCATCGGTATATTCGTGCCAATTAATTCAGTGATCCTTTGGTCAATTGATTTGATTTGTTTTTTGATTGTTTGTTTAAGTAGAAATTAGAAATTACAAAGACATTGTGAAAATTTTAGTACTCATTTTTTGTTTCAAATTCAGGCCTAATCTTCTACAAATGTCTGTTTGGGATTGAATCTTTTTTTGAAAGCACAATTGCCAAGTCTCCTTCCTTCTTAAAGGGATTTCGATCGAAGGCAGAAATAGCACAACTTGGAATTTCAAATTTTGAGATCGAAATAGGTAATTCAATACCACTTAAAGTTTTAGTTTACTCGAGTTTACTTTTTTTTCGCCGTATTAGCAATTTTATAGTAAGGTCAATTTTTGCTAAAATCTAATCCGAAACCCTTTACAAGTATTCATATTTGTATTCTAATAATTAAGCACAATTCAATGAAATGAATCTCCTTACAACTCATGTTCTGCGTTGCTATTTTTCTCTTTTGGTATGGTAATTTAATTCTTACCAGAGCCATCAAGGTTTACTGCTCATATTAAATATTATATAAAAATGCTTTCTTGATTGTTTGATCAGGGTATGTGAGAACACATGCATGTGTAAACCTCACATGCTTTATTTATGTGTGAGCACACATATTTATTAAGCATATATGTGTACTACAATTAACCATAATTCAAATAAATGCATCTCTTAAAAATTGATGTTCTTTGTTGACATAGCTTTTCAAATTTGTCATTCAAATTTACTAAGTGACTTATTTGATTCTTTAAAGTAGTGAAAGAATCTTTACATATGAGATTTGATTTGGTGTATGACTCTTTTATTTT